CTCTGTTAAATGTTCCATTTTAGTCAGCCTGAAGATGATGTTAGAAAGACATCGAAAGCTCGCTAACGAATAAAAGTTTTTGTTCAAAATGATTTTCATAGCAGTGTTATATTTCTTATATTCTCGACTACCGATGAGTGTGAGTTGTTTTACTAGTCGAACGGCTGGATGAGTTTCTTTCTATTGGGTTAGTTTATCACTTTTAGTTGAAGAATTCATCAACAATATTCAACATATAATGGATTCGTCTAATTCATTGTCTTTTTGATAAGTATATTATTTTTCCATGGCTAACTATAGCATCTATTTCAGCTCGATTGGATGAAATTTCGCTGAAGCATACGATAAGAGTCTTAGAGGTATATTTTGTGTAAAGAACAAGAAAATGATGCATGCCAAAGGACATAAATCAAACTTTTATTCTTAATTTCTTGATTATTCGCTTTCGTTTTAGAGAAGAAAAACACCGTAAAAATACATCAGCAGAAGAAAAGGAAAAAAAAAATATTACGACTATGGATGCTATTGTTTTTGTGGTTTGGTTATATAAAGTGTCAGTACGGATCCATCCATCAAAATTGGTCGATTTTGTGCACCAAATACATAATTATCATCCAAGATCTCTCTGTCACAGTAAAAGCTCTGTTGTTCAGGTTCAACTTTAGTTTCTTTTTGAATCTAAAACACAACCATAATAAACACCTGTCATACGCTTTCAATACTAACCATCGATACTAACCAATCGTTTTAAATCAGCAATTACTGTATTTGGCATAATAGAAATATCAAATTTCTCATTTGTACAATGTTCAATCAAATGACTTTCAATCGTCAATTTCAATCTTCAAACAAAAATAAATATTACAAAAATGATCTTTACAAAAATGGTCTTATCTCACTTGATAGGTTTTGCTATTGGTTTTTGCTCATTCGTTATATGCGGATCAATCGTAAACTGAATCTTGGCAGAAGATTGAGCTAATAGTTTTGTCAACTGAGCAACTCGAGTATAGTTCGACGCATTAATTGCTTTTGATAATTCCTCGGCATTTTGAAGATCATCATCTAACAGTAAAATAAGGATTAATTTGTAAAAGAATAAAGAGCTGCTGACAACTTATTTTTCACATCTATTTCCGTGTTAAATTGTATAAACGCTTTGGCAACTATTTGACAATAAGCTAAAGTAATTTGAATACTTGACTTTCTTGTCAAATACTTTATTCACTTACAAAAAATTCAAGAAACTTCGGGCAAAACTTTCAAATGTACTTGGAAGAAGTACTCGTCAAGTACATTCAACTACGGATAACTTAAAACATGAGCACAGTTTTTCTCTACGTACCAATCAGATAATTTCGAAGTCTATTTAACAACTCGACACATGATTGATTTTTATCGATAATGACAATCAAAACTCCTTTCGGGGTTTCTATTGCATCAACACCGGTGGTTGACGACCCTTTTTTCCATTTGCATTTTTTCAGATCCAATAAATCTAATTCCTAGGTGGAAAAAGAAAAATATCTCATTTGCCTGACAACGGTAACGGTAAATTGCTTACATCACTACTCGATGAAATTATACGAGCAGTGGGTTCGCACGATGACTGATCATTCAGTTGAATAGTTACATCTGAATACTGTTTGATAGGTCTGGATCCATCTTTTATACGAACTAATGATACTTTACCCTCACTAAAAAAAACGAATGATTAACATACAGTATGATCAACAGATAGTAAGCTGGTAAACATTACTTCATTTCAATAGTTATAACGACAAAAATTATTATTTATCTAAAGATATTTTCACTTATTTAGCATGAAAGGGTGGATCGTAGGAAGCATGTTGAAGAAAGGTATTCAGTATATTCTTCACAACAGTGTTTATTGAACGAACAAATAATCGATAGTTAAATCAAATTACTGAAATTCAAAAATAATTTTATCAGATTTATCAGTTTTTTCCTAACGTAACAGATAAAGCAAGCACTCATCAGATTTTAAATAAAAGTCCAGAAAAGCTGAAGATATCGCTTCTTCTTATACTAGTATTCTTTCTAGTCTCAAAAGTTCTCATTTTTGACCTGTAACACAGCAATAAATTTTTGCAGGTTTCAGTCAATTTTACTAAGGTGCCAGAAATTCGAACACGGAGCAGGTTTTTATTTTTACATTTTTATACATGGTTGGATAGAGCTCGTCGATCTGAACAAAATATGTTTTAATGTTTGAAAAGCTTTTTTCATATCGAAAAACTGGCAATATTTGAAGGACTAAACGTTCGAAAAACCCTTCAGTTTCAAAAGAACTCAAACGTTTTTCTTTCTCGTTCTTCTAACTTCTTCGAAGTGCTTTTTTCATATTCAGCATCAAAAATTGAGTATGAGAATAATGTTTAATTGAGGTTGAAGTCAAAGATCTATCTAGTAGTCAGAATATCAAGATGTACTCTATTTTACCTGCCCAATACTATGCAGTTCAATAAAAGTTTTACAATCAACAGAAAATACTTTGAGCTTTGAAAACGTTTGATAGAAAGCCTCCGAATTTTGCTTAAATCTTATTTTCTAGAGCACACTTCGAACTATCCATCTACGAAAAAAGAACGATAGATTACTATGTCGGATTCTGGAAATCCGAGCTGGTTTTTCAAAGATCTCGTAGAAAACTGACATTCATAATCTTTTCGAAAGACAATTTTACTAGTGAAAATATAGATTAAACTGTCGTCATTCGATTTCTGA